TTAATTTGTCACAGCATAAAAAGTTTAAACCAGAAACATTTTTATGTACAATACAGTAATGTTTTACATTATGCAACGTCAATTATCAAATTTGTGACTTTGATCTTGTGAACCTTTGTCTGGATGATCAGATGTTGTTCTTTCATTGAAAGACAATATGCTCTTTGGATCTTCCCAAATCATTTCTCTGTTCAATTTCAAAATGTTATGCTGCTTATGTAATATATTTGTAATAAGGAATAAAACAAACAAACATTATTTTGTTACACTTTAGATTAGGGTCCTTTTACTATTAACTATGACTTTCACCTCAAACTACTGCTTATTAATAGTTAGTAAGTTAGTTAAGTTTAGGTATTTGGCAGGATTAAGGATGTAGGCTGGAACATGGTTATATAGAATAAAGCAAATATGTGCTTTATACAAAAAAGCAAACACCCATTGCCATAACAACATCAGCGCTGCTTTTCCTGAGGCTTCCTACACCGTTAACTAAACTGACGTCGATTGCGAGAGTTCGAAGATGAAACATTAACCCTCTGGGGTCTGAGGTGTTTTTTGGGGTCTTGGAGGTGTTTTGACATGCTCTGACATTTGTGCTTTTTTCTGATACTTGTGACATTTTCATGGCTAAAGTCTGATTACACTGTATTCAGCACAAACTCAAAAAATAAAAAACGCTTTAGCCAACCTTCACATTCTAGAGAACACGGTCTTCTTGACATGATGCTGTCCAGTATCCACAGGAGGTTCAAGTTTTCCCTGGTGTATGTGAGTGCAATAAGTGGGCGGGCAATATGCTAATGTAGCCTATCGTCTTGATGTTACACGACGAAGCGGCTTATGATTAATTTTATTGATTCAGATTCAATAGTGTTTGAGACTCACTGTATGTCATGTCCATGTACTGAGCTCTTGTTATTTAACTATGCCAAAATAAATCCAATTTCACATTCTAGGGCACCTTTAAATATGACAGAGATGGAAAATGCAAGCTTGAGAAGCATCAAACATGCCATCAGCAGACCACTTCTTCTACTAGTCAAAACCTTTCAAAAGACGTTGAAGCTTGTTTTTAATGCACAGGCAAAGTGTTGGTCATCAAGTTGTGTACGAAACCACTATACATGATCCATTATTATTAACATTGTGTCATGTGGTCTTTTCACTCATACCGTTGGCTGTCATTCACTGGCCGTGTTCAGAGTGTTTTTAAGCTTCTCCCACCAGCCCCATATATTTACAGTGCACTCTCCCATTTTACCTTGTGTAACCCTGCTGACTCAGAGGAGTCTGTGTATCCCAGCGTCTCATATTAAAAACCGAGAGCAGCTCAGCTGAGGGGCAAGGGCTGTTGTCAGGAAGAGCAGTCGTAGAATATAGGTCAAATATTTATTTAGCCATCTAACTTGTTAGTGGAGAGGGCAGGTGAGTAATTCCCTTATGTCTCCCTTTTTTGTAATTTGTTTTTAATCCTAACAGATGCTCAAGGCAATGGAGCAATCCTTTTGTCATTTAGGATGAGTAAATGTTATTTGTCCTCTGTTAATCATTGTGCGTCTTGTGCACCATCATTCTTCTCTGCCTTGATGTGAATGTGACAGTAATTCCTGAAGATTTCCTCCTAATCCCAATAATGGTAACTTGTGTCTCTGGAACAAATCCTGAGGATTTATCCCCACTGAATGGCAATTAGCAGATTAATTCCCACCACAAAAAAATTAACTCCAATGTTTCCTTCAGAATATGTCTTTGTAGTGTAATAAACTGTAACAATACCTATTTTTCCCAACACATTATTACTGATTTTTGGTCATTAAAATTCTTTTCATTAAAACAAAACCTGTTGCAGATATGTTTCACTATACATTGTCATATTAACAACCAGTGAGCTTTCTGTGATTTTGCATGTATTCACATAAATGCTATTGTTCAAAATAAAGTTTGAGGAGGGTTTTTTTTTTTCCCCTCTATGCTCTAAGTCTCTATGCTCACCAAGGCTGGATTTACTTAACCAATAAACAGTAAAAACAGTAATATTATGAAATTGTATTACACTTTAAAATAAATGTTTTATATTGTAATACATTTTAAAATGTCATTTATTCTTGTGTTGGCAAAGCTGAATTTTAAGCATCAATATCTTCAGTGTCTCGCATCTCATGGTCCTTTTGAAATCATTCTATACTGATTTGGTGCTCAAGAAACATAACAAGATAAAGGTAAATCACAATATAGCTAGTTGTTTTTGCTTTAAAAAATATTTTTTATGATATCAACATTTTTGTTTCTATTGAAATTTCATAATTCACAAAACAACTAATACTATAAGTTTAAACAAAAACTCAAGCTCACTGCAGACAAGTAAAAAGTGATAAAGAATGAAACTAATTACAAGAATATGCATAGGTAAACAAACTACAATTGAACAAAGACAAATGTAATAGACCTATCTAAAACTTCAAGCACTAAAAATAAGAAATAAACTGTGTAAAGTAGTCAGATGTATTAAAAAACACTGCATAGTCTTCACTGTGTGAATGAAATATACATTTATTCTCATTAAAGTTAAATGATTCAGTCAAGAGCAGTGAGAGTTTTTTTCTCTTTTTGGTTGTTTGATTAACATTAATGACGACAACTGGTTAATTTGGATGCTGTCACTTTAAGACTGATATACTTTTTCTTTAGTGAACTGTTTACGTTCACTTAATACATAAATGGCTGTGTTTACTTGCAAATACATGATCACGTTGATGCATAAATATGTGTATTTAACCGTTCAAGCCCAAAGTCTGCAAAAAGAGTTCAGTTCTCACGCGCTTTATGAGCGGCTGCTTCAGAAACAGTCTCTCTGCGTGCTGCATATAGCAAAATGAGGGATCTTTCACTTCCACCAAAATCACTTGTTTTTAAACCACAATCCTTAAAAACGCATGCAAAAAATAAGCTTCCGTGACCGTGTAGCACAGCCACGTCAGCAAAACAGCGATAGAGAAGATAGTCCAAAACATCTACCGGTTGACAAACTTTTACAGGTTAATCGTGTCTGTTGGGATACCGCCCACCCCTACTTGTATGGAAGTGTGAAATTCACTTACTTAATGATTAGGCTAATTGTTTTTGCTGTAAGAAGTGGTATGTATTTTTGGAGGATACTAAAGTGCAGTTTGTAACATTTGAAGGAGGTTTCTGTAATCACTTTATTGCTGTGTTTTTATGCACAATGTGTTCCATTCAAATATATCCAGCATGGTGCTGTCACTAAACCTGTGCTACCAGTCCTCGAATACTTGGCCCAAAGCATGAACTGTTCCTTGTGGTGCAATATGTAAACATTAGCTCAAGCCAAATGTCTGTATTACCAATGTTACCATAGATGCAAAACTCCCGCCAAGCTATTGCTTCTAACACCTGACTTACATTTACATTTATTCATTTAGCAGACACTTCTATCCAAAGTGACTTACAAATGAGAACAATAGAAGCAGTTAAACCAACAGTAGGACAACAAACGTTACTGCTATGTCCCCTCAGTTTAATTTAACACAGGTTTTTTTTTTTTTTTGATGTTGTTTTAAGAATAGACTAGAAGAGAAAATAGAAAGTGTTAGTATTATTGGATCAAGTGCTGTCGAAGAAAATACTTCTTCAGCAGCAGTTTGTTGAAAGTGGCTACTGACTCAGTAGCTCTGGTTGTGTTAGATCATTCCACCAGCAGGGAAACAGTCATGGTAAAGGTCTGAGAAAGAGATTTTGTGCCTCTTTGAGATGGTACCACAAGACGACATTCGCTAAGTTTCTGGATGGCACATAAGTCTGAAGTAGTGAGTTTAGGTAAGAGGGAGCAGTGCCAGTGGTTGTTCTGTAGTCATATGTCAGTGACTTGAATTTAATGCGAGTGGCAACTGGCAACCAGTGCAATTTTGTGAGGAGAGGAGTGACATGTGCTCTCTTCGGCTCATTAAAGGCTGCGGCGTTCTGGATCAGTTGTAGAGGTTTGACAGAGCAAGCTGGAAGACCAGCTAGGAGAGTATTACAATAGTCCAGTCTGGATAGAATGAGCACTTGGACAAGGAGTTGTGTAGCATGCTCTGCTAGGAAGGGACTGATCTTCCTAATGTTGTGCAATCAATTCAGTTGTTCAACTGATCATCAATTACAACCCCAAGGTTCCTAGCTGGCCTTGATAGAGTTATGGATGATGAGCCTAGCTGAATGGAGAAGTTGTGATGAAGACTTCCAGTTATATTCTATTCTGTTATGCGACGTCTAAATGTTTTTGAGTGCAAGAACGGATCTTATGTAAACGTCCATGCAGAGACTTAGTCGTGCGACCTTTCAGAACCTGCACGAGATCCCTAGTGTATTTGATCAGGATTAGCAAGTAAAGAATTAGATTAGAATCTCAATCCACTATTTGCTCTTTATTTCGTTCATGAAATCCTCTGGATTTTTTTCTTGTGTGTTAAGTGATGGTGATGACATGGGGTGTGTTTTGGATAATTTCTTAACACTCATCACATCTCTGCCATATTCAAACACGATCTGAGTTGCGGTTGTTTTAGGAAAAAGTTGTGAAACCGCCCTCCACCACATCCTGTTTCAAAGTGGCCCTTCTGTGTTAATCACACTCACTACCTTACATTTGTTTTTGTTTTTTTGGTTAACTACAAAGTTTTGCTTCAACACAGTGTTTTGCTTTCTTTTTCACCATATGGTAACTCATGAGTAGCTTCTGAAAACAAAAGTCCCATCTGTGGATTTCACTTTTTGGGGGTTATTTTAAAACACTTGTGTGTCGATTATTTTCCTCCAATGCCTGTCATCTTTAATTGATTTTCAGCTGCTAATCAGTGACGGACTGATGGTATTTGAGCTTTACACTTTGGGTTGTGGTTAAAGTCTTCTGAGAGATCAGTACAGCAGGTGTCTGTTTCCTCTGCAGGCAGTCCATGTCTTAACCAGCTTCCCCTGTGTTTTTTTTTTTTTTTTTCCAGGTGCCATTCTCGGCCGCTCAGAGACACAAGAGTGTGTCTTTTACAACTACAACCCCAGCTTGGAGAACCGTGGAAACCGCAGCGGAATTGAATCTTGCGTGGGAGAAAAGGACAAGAGGCTACATTGCTTCGCAACTTGGCGAAATGTGTCAGGATCAGTTGAAATAGTAAAGCAAGGCTGCTGGCTTGATGATGTCAGCTGCTATGACAGGTAATCATTTTGAGCCAAATCTAAATGAAAGAGACAATGACTTGTGAATCTTGTATGTTTATTCAATGCTCGCTCTGAATGATTTGTTAAAATGATTCAAACTGATAACCCTGCAGTTTTTTATGCTTTTTGACTGGTAGCTTCCATCAGTATTAATCAGCATAATTTTAAGTGTCATATTCATTGCCAACTGTAGTCATTTGTCACAGCCTTCCCCTCTGAATAGCAATTGTTTTGATTTAACTTATAGAGGCGTGGTCAAACCCTCCAGCATTTCCCATGCGATCATCATTCATTTTTGCTTATATCATAGTTTCCAACACTGTAACTGTAGTAGAGATGATTTTGCTCTTCATATGCTGTTTTTCACTTGTTTTGCATCAGCGTGTGTACAATTATTGTCATTTTGTAAAAATATTGCAGTGTGAGGGGCACTACCATTCAAAATTTAGTTTTAAAGAAACAATCATTTTATTATATAGCAAGGAAGGACATTTATAAAGTTATTAGAATGCTTTCTGAAGTGACAGTGAAGACTGGAGTAATCGCTGCTGAAAATTAATTTTTGCCATCACAGGAATGAATTACATTTAAAGGAGCTAAACGCAAGTATCTGAGTTTTTGCAGAACTACGCCCCCTCTGGCGACAAGCGAAACTGCGTGCGCGCTCACACACACATACACGAACGTTTGCACGAGCTGTTCATAACCAAAGGAGCATCAGCCGCACACTGTGCGGCACACATCTTTTGTTACAGTCATAATGAGGTAATACAGTTATAAATCTGCAGGTCATTTAAAATATATGAAAGGAAAGGCATTCGAGTACACACTTATGTGTGTGTGAGGGGAAAACAGGGGTAGTAGAAAACTTTGGTTTTTGTTTCCATCTATATATTGAACTGTTTTATGTGCTTACTGTATCCACGTATTATTGTATAATTATGGAAACACGTTCATGGACAATATAAGTTATTACTTTGTATAAGACCCGTTTGAGCCCTAGAGCAGACCAGAGATCTCTCCGTTTGTTGAGCCTTCCCGATGTTGACTCTTGTCTTATTCCGACGAATGGCACTGGACAGACAGAAGTTGTATTTTCTTTGTCTCACGTGGAGTTTGCGTTGGGGTTTGGAATGAACTACAAGCCGGTCTCTTTTGGGCTTTTTACACCTGGCCACAATGCGTTTTCTCTAAATCGCTATCTGATTTATCAAAACGATTCCATTACACCTGGTCACATAAATGTGTTTTTGCAAAACCGGATATAATCTGATCTTCAATTTCCGCGCTATACAGGCTACAGAATTCATGAAGTGCACGTCACCGAAAGCAACAGATATGAGCTGCATTTTATTAATCATCAGCTAATTTCAAAATCAGCAAAGACAGCAATAAGAGAGAGCGGCAACAGCCCTGGTTGCCTGGTAAGATCATTTAATTTCTTTACTTTTAATGAAGGTGGTAGTGTTAAGCGTCTGCGACTTACTTTCACTTTGATTTGCGATGGATTGCGACGATTGCGGCTGGCTTTATGAATAGGCGCTCAGCTGCTCATCTGAGGTGATGCGCGTCGTCATATATATGACTTAAATAACATGACATAACCTATAGCCTGCTTTCAACAACCAGATGCATTTACACTTGTCCAGTTTTGTCTGGAATATGGCCCAGACCACGTCCTCAAGTGATTTGAGCGATTGGATTCAAATCCGTCTTAAATGCGTTTCGGAGGGCAACCTGGTCTTTTCACGATCGAAAGCTATCCGATCACAGAAAACGCATGAAGTGACCAGGTGTAGGCTAAACAGCTCCTTTGAATCCATCTTCTACTTTTGTGGAACGTTGACTAAAGTTGTGTCGCTCACGTTGTCTTCTCTGATAAGGAGAATGGCGGCGAATACACTACCTGCAAGACATAGGCACATAGCCAGGCGAGCGTGAACGCACATGACGTCACGGCCAGTCTCAGATTCGAGCCCGAATCCCTCTTATTTATTTCTCTCAGAGAAGGGCTCATTCAGCCCATCAGGCGATTGTTTAAGCATGTATGGGTTAGAAAACGGCTATTTTTAACATGAAATGTTGCGCAATGCACCTTTAAATATTTGATCAAATCAGTCCAGCCTTTGAGAGCATTAGAATCTATATCTTACGTCCCCAAACTTTTGTACAGTAGTGTATGCTCTTTTTTTCTTCCATTTTCAGGCATGGTTTAACTTAAACTAACTAAATTGCCCATGCTCAATGTTCTACACATTACAGAGAGAATACACCACACATTCCTTGTAAACAAATTCATAGTATTTCAGATAAAGTCTTGTGTAAACGTGTTTCCATGTTTAGGCTTAGTTGTGAACCTTGTAACCTCCGGCCACAAAAGGGGAGATATTAAAAACAGGTTTATCAATGCATCTGCCCCTATGCGACAGGTAGCACTGCTGGTAGATCAGGAAGTGCTTTTCCTGAACGAAGCTGTTTTGATAGCGTGCAAAGGAAGCAACACTTCTCCTGTCCTAACATGCTGCTGAACCCGTTTACCTCCCTCGCTTGAAGGATTTATGTTTTTTTTTTTTTTTCATGCACGTTGCTCTGCCATGTCAAGTCCTTAAGTAGCTGAGCAAGTATTGCGATCGCTTAATGGCTCGTGTGCGTCTCAAGACAGTAACCGAATCACTTTTCTGACTGAATGCCTCTGGAATGTCATCCATTCCCCTTTTATTTTTTCATTTGTACCTGTTTGTGTATCTTAAGGATTATTGGTGTGCTGCTAAGCTTTGTTTATCTTCTTTAAGCCAACCTGAGAGCTCTGCTTTGATGTGGGCTGCCAGATTTTAAAAAGTATCTCTTTGGCTCAGGCATTTTTCAATCCATGTGCATTTGTTCGTTTGTTTGCTCTCTTAACCCAAGCGAAATCCAAATAAACCTTGCAGCACGTCTCAATAATCCCCAAATGTGATGCAATCTTTATTTTATTGCCCAAAATTAGGGGGAGGGTGGGGGGTGCTGTCAATCTTTTTTTAATCAAATGAATTACATTAAATGTATGTAATTAATCAAATTGTATGTAATCAGTTATTTGGTGAACAGATTAAATATTGAAAAATGTGTTGTGTTCTAGAAATTTCACTATTTGAGTGGTTAAAAAAACGTTACATCAATTGTGGACTGATAGCTCTGCTTGTTCTTTATCTTACAGCACCGAGTGTGTGGAGAAGAAGGAGGACCCAGATGTGTTCTTCTGCTGCTGTGAGGGCAACATGTGTAACGAGAAGTTCTTCTACAACCCTGACACGCAGCCAGTTCAGAGTAAGGCTCCCTTCAGCGACACAAACAGCAAAGTCTTTAAGGGTATTTGAAGTTCTTCAGTTATACCTCTTCCTTTGATGCAATTGTGCTGGTGTTTGATTCTGCCATTCTGTCTTTGTCTCATCATAGCCTATATTCCCTCATAACCACATCATCAAAATCATCAGAACAAAGCACCTCTCAGGTGTTTTTCACGACTAATCATTTCAAAAGTCATAACAGGCTCACTGTGTTTTTTGCATTTTACAATCCATTTTAGTTTTTTTTTTTTTTTTTTTTTTTTTCATGTTTCAGATCCTGAATTATGAGGTGTGTTTCTGTAGCCACATTTTAGCACCACAATCCAATGCATACCTGCCTTGTTTGTGTTGCGTTATAATGAACACTTACTCTGATAGTCTGTACATCAGTGTTTTGTGCTTCATGTTATTTATGAACTTAAAAAAAATGTGCACATTAGGAAGACAATTTTGTGAATAGCATATATATATATATAAACATCCACTTTCTTTTTCTGCCAGAACATCATAATATATAACTGTTATGATGTTTATATTAAAACAACTGGTGGTCTTGAAGGTGCTGTGTGCCTAATTTTATTTTCGACATGTTCAAAGTGTTGTCAGTGGTGTGAATGTTCATTATTAGTTCATGTTGGAAATATATGGTGCAACTGAAGATCTTTTCTTCATGCTTTTTGCCATGTATTTTTAATATCCTGTGTGTCTGTATTTATCCGTGTTTACATGGATCCTAATAATCTGATTGTAATCCGATTAATAGCACAGTCTGAAAAAAAAAAGTCACACGTATCCAGTCTAACCACATCAGTCGGAATGAATTGGCCAAATCTAATTAAAATTTCATTCAGATTGTAAGGGGTGGTTTTTGTAAACTGATCGAGAGGACATGTAAACACTTGATCGGAATGAAAATCACAACTGGAAAGTACTGCACATGAGCAATGATGTAGAAATGGCATAATAAACGCAAGGAGTGAGCTGTTGATGTTGAATAGTGGCATAAATGACTTTCGTGTCATTCTAAAATTCTCCTTCCACTCATCGTCTATGGGGTTGAGCAGGCAAACATCCCTCCAGTCCTTGTTTAGGACTCTTATCCACAGACGCCTTATTTTGGGATAGGGATGGACAATCGACAATCGTTAATTGATAATTAAGAATTTTGTCGATCACGTTCATTTGTTATCGATTAAACTAATGCAGGTTGCATTGCATAGTGTGAGTCTTGAAGAAATGAAATGAATTTCACTGTGTGGCAGCAATTAAACATTTTACCACCTGGGAGCAATATTTGACGCCATACTCAGTTATCTGCGAGTTTCAATTTTGATTTCAAAAGAAGAATCATGAGGAGAGCGGGTGTTTTCGGCGGCTGGACTGAAAGTCACCAGGTTGCGGTCGCGTCTGACCCCAGATTATGTCAGCATGCTTATCTTTCTCAACAAAAATCAGAAGACTGGTGTAGAGTAACTAGTTATATTTTTTATGAGGCTTTGTTAAGTAGCCAATAAATTGTTAGGTAGGCTAATCTCTCTCACCCTCTTTCTCGTCTCTGTGCTTTAGATAGTTTTGAGTTACATTTTGACAAAACCTGTCAGAGCTATGTATTATTATGTTTTGTTTTGGTTTTTTTTGGTCAAGTTATTGATTAACATGAACCTTTTTTAATTATTTATTATTTTGGAACAAACAAGGGTCTCTGTTTAAGTTGATCTTCCTGTAATTCCAGTTGTACTGGTGGATTTCCACGGGAGATTCGATGTGTTTACATCATTACATCACATGTACACATAAAGGAGTCGTCTCAGCTAGTATAATATATATTGCGTGTGAGGATGTTGGAGGTGGAGATTTAAAGGATTTTCTAACAGCACTTGATATAAATAAACTTATCAATTTGATGGCAGATCCAGAAAGGTTCAAACGACAATCACCAGAGACAACAGATTTAATGAATAGCTCGAGTAAAACAAGAAAACTAAGGAAGGCAAAATAAAGAGAAGTTAGTCTTAGATAACCCCAAAGCAAAAACTTCAAGGATACAGGAAGCTACAGAGGGAGCTTTGGAAAATCACACCTGGATATAACACGATACTTGAGAAAGGTCTTAGACATGAACACAAAACAACGATCCAGCAATGGCCTTGTCCACACGGACACGGGTATTTTTATAACCTTGACTTTTTTTACGCGGTTCGGCCATTTGTCCACACGGAAACGCAGTATCAGGACACTGAAACCGAACATTTTTGAAAACCCCTGCCCGGGTGAGGATTTTCAGAAACGCCGGTTACAGTGTTTTCGTGTAGACAGTGAAACTGGGGTTTTCGCCTTGCGACGTCAGAGTGTGCGCCTGTGCTGCGCTGTTATCCGCCTACCGGAACCTGTAATAACTTTTTGTTAGGCTTCTGATTGGCCAATGTGGCTTTCCGGTTAGGGTTATATTGCCACCTGCTGGTGTGGCATGCTCTTGACATCCCTTGGTAGCGTGTTTTTGCATTTTCATGTGGACAGGATTTAAAAAAAAAAAAAACACAGGAGGAAAAACTCCGACAAGGAGAAAGACAAACAGCAAGGTGACACAATATAAAGGGAGTGGAGCAAACAAGGACCAGGTGAACACAATTAGTGAATCAGGACTAGACAAGGACAGCATGAGAGTGGGTTTTTTGGCGGTGGATGTGTTTTTTCCTCCGCTTGTGAATTAATCCAGAGTCCTTAACCCACTTCCAAGTCCATAGCCGGCACGATAGAGAAGAAATGGCACCACAAATAGGATCTCGGCTGGACTAAGGAACGCAATTAGGGAATCAAGACTAGACAAGGATGAGGGGACGTGGTAAGGGGAAACTAGGAGGCAAGACAAGGGAGCACAGTAAAAAAAGAAAAGAAAATATACATTAATTTGTTACAAAAATAGTACTTGTTACAGTTTAGCGTTGACCAAATTGTAAGGCTAAAACTGTAAGGCTGTGTTGTGGGACGTAATGTGTGTTTGGGAAGTTGGGAACAAAGTGACCTTTAATGTGCACAAATACAATCACAATCAATTTGACAGCATCACATTGGGACACAAATTGGTGCTAAATACAACTTGAAAAATTGTTATATTAAGTTATTTGTAAATGTATGAAAGAAATAGCACTACTTTTAATTTTTAATTACTTTTAACTAATTTTACACTGCTCTGTTTCACATGGTAACTTGACTAAGCTTAACATTACAGAGTTTGAGCCTATGTAGCTTTTCATCCACTGCAGTAGATCTTCAAAAATACATGAATTGAACAACCATCTATTGAGTGATTCTGTAATCAAGACATCAGAGGTTGCGTTGCACCAGTTTGCTTTGCTGTCTTTGGGATTTTAACAGCATAACGTGCTCTCAGAGATGACCGTGTCTTTTAGATTACCAGGGCTGATCTGGTCGCTTTATCTCTTCTGAGTAAACACTGACATCAACATCCTCTTAACTAAATGAGGGATGGAGGCATGTCAGCGAGCAACTGCTCTCAGCTCCCTGCAGGTGGGCTGTTGTACGTTTCAGCAATCGTGATTTATCAGCTACCCGCGGCTGCTTTAAAAGATTCCCGATTTAGTTGCATACAGCACTGGTTGAGCTCCGCCTGATGAGTTTTGCCACAACAACAGTGCAAATGTGGTGGGTAGAAGAGTCTTCAGTACTTCAGTAGCAGAGGAGGTGGGTTGGGTGTGTTGGGGGGGGTCTCACTCGTACTTACGTAATGGGTCTATTTCCAGCACTGACTCAGTCCATATGGAATGATCTTGCATTGAATGCAAAAACCCACAAGGACATGGAGAGTTGAACAAAGCACACTGGAGTTTCTCAAAACTCGCTTACTGCAAGCATGGAGCTGTGTGCTGTTCATGACCTTGTGACTGGGTACTTTTTTGCCCCATGGCTGCATGTGGCCATTCTGCCCGTTGAGTGGGGGAAGGGTGAAGTAGGGTCGGATGAAAGTGGGTTTTTTGGGGGTGGATGTGTTTTTTTCCTCCGCTCGTGAATTAATCCAGAGTCCTTAACCCACTTCCATGTCCATAGGCGGCACGAGAGGAAAGAAATGGCATCACGAATAGGATCTCTGCTGGACTAAAGCTAACACAGGTTCAGCCGAAGTTCGACCGAGTGGGTTGCGCACATGGTCCCGCAGTCAAACCAGGCGAATGGGAAATGCTCTGCCATCACACAAGGGTGAGGGATCACTGCATCTCTGGCGAAGAGCCACGGCCCAGTCCGATCTCTGGCACTAGATGCAGAGAAACCAAAGACCACCGTGTACTCTAAGTACACACACTATTCTCCCTCAAGCGTACACTCGTGCAGTTCTGTTGAACTGCTTTTAACGGGAATGTGCATTTGCATAGATGCATGTGCGCTGGAAATAAAACTGTTTGCACAAGGCAGGATCTGTCAGTAGCCGCCATGGAATCAAACCAACCTTGAATTACAAGGCTGGCGTGTAAGAATTGTAATTAGCAAGTTTAAAAGGTGCGGGACTTAAGATAAGTATGCAGTGAGAGATTCTCAAAGCACACTGTGAATCTCGCTAATGCAACGTATGTTAGACTTTACATCTGTCTTGTGTTTGTGTGCTGTTCTTCCTGAGGGAATTTGTATCTGATATTCTGCTTAGTAATGCTGATATCATCCCCTTTCACATTCATATCTCTTATTAAACCAATAATAATGAAGTGTGGTATTCAGCTGTTTCCAAAGAGCATATGTTTTAAAAAGAAGGGAAATGCAGATATTTCTTTGTTTATTTTTATTTGTTATTATTTTTTTATTATTGTATTCTTAATTATTATTTGTATTATTAATCTATTTTATTTTAGCCCTTTTCAGTGGGAGCAGTTGACTAAATTTAAAAGAATGCTAATTTAATAATAATAATAATAGTAAAATCTTAGAATGTGGACTCTCTATAATATGCATAAATTAGATCTGACTCTTTGCTTTTTTTACAGACAAATTAGAAATGTTCACTTTCATATTTTATTAAATATGATCATGATGATCATAATTGGTATCTGTAAAAAATATAATGACCTATATCAAATCAGTATATTGTAACAGTCATACAACAAGCGTATTTGTGGTAACGGCCGATAATCAAATTCTATGATTTGACCGGGAGTCACTAAAGTAGGCCGATCCCACCAACTGATTGGAAATTATTGACATTAACGGTGCAGTCATCACCAGTTATTACGTGGTTTCAAGAAACAATGCATTTTATAAGCCTTGTGATTGAAAAACAAGTGATTTGAAACCGCTCATGCACAGTAGGCAGCGAAACATCTGATATGTTCGCACGCTGTCTGAGAGACTGGTTCTGAGCGCACAGTCATGGAACGTGCGCACTTAAAGCTGCAGCTCATACAGCGTATGAGCACTTCTCTTACTGGGCTTGTTTGTCAAAATGCCCGAGTATCTTCGTAAACGGAAACAGTGCATTCGGTGTTAAAGTGAAAGCAGGCTAATAAAGCTGCTGCCGTCTTTGCCATTCATGTTAATCAAACAGTCTTGTGAAGATTATGCATGCACTGTTTTTCTCTATTTGGTAAATGTATGCAATTTATGTTGTATTTCTATTTCTATTTGCTTGAAGTTTAGCACTCGTGTGTTGATGAGCAACAATTCAGCACAACTACTGCCACATGTTTTGGATAAAAAGAGGAATGGACTCTCTCCCCAAAATGCAGAAAAGCATAAAGAGAATCCTGCCTTGCCTACTTAAGTAGGACTTAGGAAGAAATTACTCAAATACTCAGCAATTGCTGAATAATATTCCTGATCATTTTTGTATCAGACTACTCATTTTGTTAATTTCGGAGTTTGCAGTGTTTCTATTTGTTTTTGTCCTCAGTCACATATTGGCCAATGTTTAATTACGCCTTATGGGTTGTAATTATGTTCAGTTTGACATGAAGTCTTGTTGGCTTTTTAGCGAGCATCCTCATTTGGATAGTGTTTTGCATAAGCCCTGTTTTAAATGGCCTATTAAAATGCTCATTGTAAAATTAATATTTGTTGTGCTTATTTCTTTTATTCTCAATTAATACAACAATCTATAGCATCATTGTAAATATGTCTGTGGTATTACTTGAGAAAAACACTGACATTCAGCAGAGAGCTTAATTATTACTTATATAAAGCTTAAATGATCGGGATCTGTATTGGTCAATTATGATGACAAAACAATCTGTAATCGGTATCCGCTACAAAAATCCTGATCGGAGCATCCCTAGTGGTCACACTTTATTTTACATTGTCCTTGTTATATTCTACATATAGTTCCTATAGCAATAATAACTGTCATGTTTGCATAACCAAATGCATGTAACCCTAAACCAAACATAATCCTAACCCTAACCCTATATTAAGTATATGTATTAATCAATATTAATCAGTAATTAAATGTTTAATTACACTGTAACAAGGTCACCTTAAAATAAAGTGTAACCATATTTGTATGTAAGGAGGCCTTAACACAAGCACATTGAATCAAACACAGGGGTCTTGGGGATTTTTAATGTTTCATATTTTTCATTATTTTTATCATTTTGTGATTGATTTTGCAAGTTACAATGGCTAAAACGTCTGCTAAAGGACTAAAAGTAAATGGAACTCACGACAGAATGTGTGAATTGTCATAGTTAGTAATATTTTGGTCTCATATTACAATGTTGTTCAAAAGTTTGGGGTCAGTAAGGTCAAATTTTTTTTTTTTTTTTTTTTTATGTATACATTTTCAGCAAGTACAAGTATTAAATTGATCAAAGGTGACAGTAAAGACTTTTGAACCTTTTTTGACTTTCTATTCATCAAAAATTTTTAATTAATTTTAAAAATTATTTTTTGTACCATCCATAAAAATAATAAGCTTTGCCTCTCAGGATTTAATTACATTTTAAAATGTAATAAAATAGAAAATGGTTATTTTAAACTCTAATTATATTTCACAACATTACTGTTTTTACTGTATTTTGATCAAACAAATGCAGTCTTGGTGAGCATAAGAAACTTCTTTTGAAAAATGTTGCTTTTTAAATTACAGACCCCACACTTTTCAATGGTAGAGTACATTAAAAGTACATACAGTAATTGATTGATACTGATGTCTCTCGTTCATTTTATCTCCCCAGCAACATCCAACCCCTTCACCCAAAAGACATCACTGTTCAGCACCCTCCTATACTCCATCGTGCCCATCATGGGCATCGCTGCCATTGTCTTGCTGTCCTTCTGGATGTATCGGCATCACAAGCTGGCGTATCCACCTGTTCTGGTGCCTACCCAGGTAACCTGATACTTTTCGTATATTATGCATGTATTTTGATTCACTTTTAGTAAAATGAGAATAAAAGTCTTATTTCAGTGTGTGTGAGAGAGAGTTTCGGTGTATCAGGAAATCTTCACATCACTAGAAATTGTGCTTTGGGGAGCTGTATGTTCCCCTGGGCAGAACCTCCTGTTGACGTGAATGACAGTGAATTCAGGGATCTAATGTGCTCAATGTCACACTAGCTCAAGCTCAAACTCACTGTCAGCTGAAATCAAACGAGATCTGTCCGGACACTGTTGTGTTTCGATGCCCGCTTCTCTTACAATAAACAAAAATGACATAACACAAGACATGAGCAATCAGGTGACCTTTACACCTGGTGTGTGTCTAGTGTTAAGATTCACATCTACTTCTGAACTACACAATAGAGCTTTATAGATTCAGTGAAGTGAAAATCTGCACTACTGGGCCTGTGGGGGGAAAAAAATCTTTACTTGTAGGACATCTTTGGCAGGTCAGAATAGATCCATTTACAAGCGTGTGCTGGGAAGATATATGGGACCGTATGGTAGCACAAAGGGTTACCTTTGAGTCAGGTGAGCATTTGGAATTCCCCGATTGAGTTTCAGTGTTATGTAGGTCAGATCTGACAGATAAACCATCCCCACATTACTGCTGATATCAAATATCACAATCAGCCTAAACTTGTTTTTGATTTGCTGGAAGCTTTATTTGTTCTTAGTGCAGCAGGCAGAATTCTTCGGGGACTATTACAACACTTAGTCAACAAAAAACTGAGTTTGCAACTTCCATAATGGATTATTCTTTCTCTGTAACTGCTAAAATTGTTAGAATTTAATTCTTAATTGGATTGTGAAAAGCAGTCTGTATGTGACTGGTGGTTGGGAACGTGTTTGAAAATAAGGCTTGGTGATGTCAGCTGAAAAAAAAATAGTTTTGGAGGCGGAGAAAGTTTTATTTCATATTTATTTACACTTCCGTTTCAAGGTTTAGGGTCAGTAATATTTTATTTATTTTTATTTATTTTATTTTTTTTGAAAGAACACATTAAACATTTTACATTGTTACAAAGGATTTCTATTTTAAATAAATGCTGTTCTTTTAAACGTTCTATTCATCAACAAAACCTGAAAATATTGAGCATATGATTTCTGAAGAATTCATGTGACACTGTATCCTGATGATGTCGTCATACTCAGATTCTAGTAAGAATGTGAGACTGATATCGCTCCATTGGGTGTGTTTCAACCGAACCAAGAAAAAATGCCTCAATCGGATAGATCGAATCCTGTAGGAAAGACGGCAAAAACATATTTCCGGTCTACAAATGCCTTGATCACGGTTCTCTGTTTCTCTTTTAAAATGAATGTGCTGTCTACATCTTCAGTAACTGCCACGATGGCTGAATCTACACATCTCAATTCTCCAGCGGCAGCCATTCTTCAACCCAAGCGAACCAAACAAAGGAATAAATTACATTTTAAAATGTTTGAATTAAATAGAGAATAGGTATTTTATTTAGTATTATTTCACAATATTTAAATTTTTACTTATGTTTGATTAAATAAATGCAGCCTTTGTGAGTAAATATATCTTACTCCACATTTTTGGATTGATATTAATTTATAGTATATTAATTTATTTCATCCAGAATTGTATCTAAAGCTGTAATGATTCAGCAGACACAAGGGGATCCATATGCAGCTTTTATAGAGTAGTCAGACAGGCAGGGATCAACACCAGTAAACAAGGTAATGGAGAAAAGGCAGAGACAAACCAGATGACAAGCAATGCTCGGGGCAGGCGGCGAGAAGCAAGGTCCAGTAAAAATACAAGTCGAAGCAGGCAGAGAATGATCAGAAATGGGGTATACAGTCCAAGGTCATGTGTAAATGAGAGGCAGATGTGTGCAACAATCACCACAGTGCAGGTGTATGGTGTTTGGTATAATCAGTCCAGGGAGGTGCATGATGGGAAATGTAGTCCGTGATAATCCAGGGAGTGCGTGGCTAATCATGAAAAAAGCCTCGAAGCTGTCACTCCACTGAGCCACAAACGTTGGGAGATTGCCAGAAATTATTTTGTAATGGAAAGTGAGTGCAGAAAAATGCTTTAAAGTTATCTTCATACTTCAGTGATGAAACCATTCCCTTCCATTACCTTGCTCAGTTTCTGTTGATAAATAACATTGTGTGTTGTATTTTGATGCATTCTATTGCTGCTACCACCTCCCTTTCTAGTTGGGATGCACTAATTAGCATTTTTGCTGCAGATACTGATATCGACTACCAATTTCTTGTAATCTTGATCGGCCGATACTGATTTCGATATTCATTTTACAGTGAACCTTTTAATAGGCAGAGCTTGCGCAAAACACTATCCATTTTAGGATACTTTGGCTCATTAAAGACTTTAAAACTGAACAATTGCAGGCTGTCAACATGACAGGCGACTGCGGTGCTAAAGTTTGATGCCACCGCATGTTTTACAACATCAAATTGGGGTCGGTATGTAAGATCGGACCGATCGAGTCGTAGAATGGGATTATCAGCTAATACCGATTTGCAGCCGATCGATCGGAGCATCCCTCCTTTTTAGAGTTTTATACAAAGCTTTAAGCTTAACTTTCACAATGGTTTAAATATGTATATAAGTAACACAAGATTTGTCTTACTATATACGTTTGGTTAAAGACTACTCTCTTGTCTCCCTGTAACTTGGTCAGTTCATTCATTCACTTGTATTATCTCTATAATCGTCTACACTGAAACTCCTAAATGCACTGTAAATCTTTATTTAAATTTAAATGGGTCCATCTTTGAATTTGTATGGTTGCCTGATGGCGGTTGGTGTATGCATTTACATGGGATGTAATGCATGCTGTATGCATCAACATAAATGAGAATCATTTTATGATGCCCTTATCAGTTGTCATCAACATTGTTTTGTATAGCTCTAATTGAAACATTCCTCCATCAATTCTCAGGCCCTTTTAAAACATGGAGTTAAAAATAATGTCTTAGTTTGAAGCATTTGGCCCCAAGCCTCCACTTTAGAGTCTCGTACCATTTCGAAGGCAGAGAGACGCTTATTTAACAGTTTTCTTACAAGGGCCCAAGACCCAACATGCCCCTCAAGAGATAGTACAGTGTGCTTTAACCGCATTGAGTGCTTGGCTTCATGGTGAGGAAGGGAATTTCTTGTTTCAGGAAAGAACGGAGATTCAGGCAACTGAACACGTTGTGCAGTGTTTAAAGCCATGAGGTCTGCTCCTGCATTAATGTGCAACTCATTGCCTTGGTTCCATTTCTTTATATTCAGGTTTTAGCTCTTGTGCATTACAATGCTCAGTTCTTCAAACTTGTTTTGGTGTTGTTTATGGCAGTAAATAATATTTTACATGTGCCACTTCATCTAAATCGCCATTTTTATATATTTTTTCCAGCTTTTAAAAAAATATTATTTGGTATGGATAGGGAGGATGTGCTTACTGTTGTGTTATGACTCTGAAAACACCACATTCTCTATAATTTTCTAAGTTTCCCAAAAAGTCCTGCACAAACCTTTGTGCTAAGTGTTGGTTGTTTTGAGTTGAGTATGGTAAGTCTGAATGAGAATGCAGGGATATCTGTTGTACTCACTGAACAACAATGGTTCATGGCCCATTTTCTTTAAACTATCTATCTTCTTTGTTTTCTTTTTTGAGATTCTGAAACTTTCCTAGTTTTCCGTTTTATTTGAAGAAGTCTCTCTGTATCTTGTGGAAGTCTGGCAGTTGCTGTAACATGCAGGTTTGGCCTCAGGTGAGAGCAGCAACTGTTGAGTGGTGTGGTGTCCTTGGGGCAGAAGGTTCATTCTTTCCAGTTATATTCATTTATATAAAGTTAAAATTGCACACAAGCCAGAAATTCTTCTACATAAGGCAAGATTTTTAATCGGAATATCGACTTGAGGCCAACGCCTGAACCAGTATATTTCTTTTTCATCTTAAAGATGAAATATGTGCTTTTAGCAACATAAGCTGCATCAAATAGAATTGCAAAAATACAAAATCCTAAAATTATTGGTTGGAAAAACATATTGTCCAATTCCAAAGGCAATGGTTCAGTCAGTGTAGCTTTGTTCGCCCGTTTTCGGACAAGTTAACCTCTGAATAGCTTACTTTTAGTTTCTGCACATTAAAGTATCAAAAGAAAGAAAACACCTATTTTTTATGAATTTTAGACTTTGGCTTGACATAAATCTAAAATATTTTGGACAGACAAAATTGAGTTAACCTGTAGAAATATGTTGTGTTGGCCAGCAAGTAGAAGTTATTACTGAAATAGTGAAATTGATTTACTCGTTCTTCCAGAAACCATGAAATTCCCCATCTCATATACGTTAAACTAAAACTAACGCTTGATTTCCTCTTTCCTTCCTCAACTAGCACGCCTTTCATATAATGATAGAGGTAAGAAAAGCCTGATTCATTCATCTTTTTTTTCAAGATTATGTTGGAACTTCATTTTAAACCTTTTTTTTTTTTTTTTTCATTGCTATCAAAAGCACCCCTTTGTTTTCGTTAGCACATTTTCCTATAATATCCCACTGGTTTTATTTTGCGTTTATCCCTGCACATTGCCTCATCAATCTGTGATGTTCTGAATTTCAGTGCACGGATAACAAAATCGAAATCCCCTCTGATTCAGGGGATTCAGGCCGAGATCCCTTGATTTAGGTGCATGGTAAAACGTCAATACTGAGATTGATGAATGCACGTCTCCAAGCATGCAGCAAATGTATGCAAAGATGAATGTCATGAATGTGGGAATGGGGAACAGCTTAAAGTGTTTTTATTGTACTTAGCATATGAAACATTTGCAGTCATATTGAAAGATTCATAGCAAACTGTCATGTTGCATCAGCGTCACTCCTTGGACATTTTCTCATTCAGCACACAAATTGCACATGAAAAATCTGTTGTTTGATCAGTTTAATGGATATGAAGCTGTGGGCCTGTGCAACACTCGTTTGCCAATCTGTGTGGTAGTTTTTGCCAAAACTCTTAAAAACTGGAATGAACCAAGATTATTAGCTAATGAGTCCTGAGCTTTACTTACTTTTGTATGAATGCACTTCATGACAGATGTTCGTGATTTTATGAGCTAAATAAATCTTAAACGGCAAAATATTAAAAATGCCTTGCTATTTTTTTTTTCAAAGGATCATGTTATGTAAAACTGGATTTTCCCACCTCCCAGCAAAAAAAAAAAAAAAAAAAAAAAAAACGCAGCAGTATAGTGATTATATGGATTATATAGATTATATTTTATGTTTTTCAGCAATTATTTTCTATGTCACCCTAATTGCAAAAGCAGTCTGTTTTATTCCTAGGGCCAGAAACTTTAAAATGGTATGAAAAAAACTGAATATGACCAGAATATTTAACTTTTGGTCCAGGAAACCTTGATTAACATTATAAGTGTGCCTCAGGGGGGAGGGGGGATGGATAAAATGCTACAGAAATATAAGATATTGCCCTTTTAAAACTTGTTTAATCACTTTGTATTCCCAGAAGTTGCTTAAACAGTAATGTTGGGCCTAGTCATTCAGTGTGTGTGAAGCCAAAAATTGTTGCTCAATTGCTGCACAGATTTAGCCCATTCTGAAGATGTATTACAAAACATCACATTGATGCTTTTATCCATCCTTGTGTCAGAACTGATAAGATGATAAGCACTCTGATAAGCACTCTGGCACTTAGATGTCTTTTTAGTTCTGTAAGGATTTTGCTTTGAATTACATTGTATACAGCATGTGCTGTCTACTCTTCCATTTGTTTCAGCAAACAGCTGTGTGTTGCTTTGGTCTAAATTTGTCATCCAAATGAACAACTGTATGTAAAAAAAATCACAAAAGATCAAAGGCCCCAAATTGCACTTGCTTTCTTCCAAAGGTTTAGTCTTGGTAAACAGTCATGGACCTTATGGCGAGGATTTTTTTTTATTTTTTTTTATTTTTTTATAGAAATCCAATTATTTTTACCACACAGGAAATGTACAGTAGGCTTAATAACAATGCTTAAAGCTTTGCGTGCAAAAAAATGTATATTTATATTTGCATCAGATGAATTTAATCTATTAAAATTATTCAGACATGCATTAACAAAAATGTAACAATCAAAAAAAAAAAAAAAAAAGAAGTTCAGCTAATACATCTTGAATGTGATGAGAATGTGATGTACCACAAAGTAATGAAGGCAAGTGTTTCTGTGAGCTGTCCTTGTGGGCTGAATGCAAAAACAGACTGACTGATTGAATTTTTACAGAAAGTATGTATGAAATAAGAAAGCAAATGAGAAAGAGATATATCTAAAAACATATTGCTTAAGTTATATTTTTTAAAAACAGTTATGCAAAATATAGGGTGCTTAAGATATAAGAATTAGGGACATCTGTGTTCACTATGAGACTTAACCCTCTGGGGACTAAGCCCTTTTTGGTCTGTTTTCTCTATTTTTACATTTGGGCTTATAAACTACATGTAATGGAGATGGAACACTATGTGGTATCTATGGATTTAGAAGACACTAAGCTAACATAAGCATGAATGTAATGTGTTTTTAAAGGAAGTATGAGTGAAAAATTTACAATATACTAGAGAATTTCAAAAACGGAAAATTCGATTTTTGCCATTTCTTTCTGAAAATCACACATCACACAACAATCGTGAACAGTTTTTGAACAAAAAATATATTTGTCAAAGCCTTCTGCTTGACAGACATGTGTAATTGTTAAATAAGATGTGTAAATAACATCGAACTTCATTTACAAATAGTCCCAGGCGTTTTTCTTAGGAATGTAGGAATGCTTAGAATTTTCTAAGCAATGCTTTCTCCTTGTCACTCTCCTTGTCACTTTCTCCTTGTTTTCTCGCTAGCCATATACAGAAAAATATCTATATAAGAAAAATATTTCTCCATCGGCAGTTTTTCCATTGGTTGTTGCTTGTGAATCTGCCAAACAACATCGATTTCATTGGCCTTTGCCGGTGAGTATACAAGCCGGTTGTCCAGTTATCACTGTTTTCAGCGGAATCGGAGGAAGACGCCAAAAAGACCGTGCATCCCTATCATGAATAGTTTTTAAGATAAGTACACATTTGTAAAAGTTTGTAATTTTGGGCAGTACCGCCCAATCCGTCCTCAGAGGGTTAATATATGCATGAACGCTTCACCTGTTCAACAAATGTCCGTTGGGCTTTTTCCACTAGTCTCTTTATTTTCAGTCTTTGAACAACACAAACAACTCCAGTAACCGGCTCAATGAAATACTATATCTGCCACAGGCATCTGGGTAGACGGGTAGCCCTCTTAAATTACCTTTGTTGTTCTTTCTTTTACTCTATTTTGGAAAAGGAATGCGTTAAAAATGTCAGCCTTTGGCTCCATCCACGTCTGCGGCCCCAGGGGCAGACACTTCCCATAAGACCTATTGTCATCATGTTTATGAGTGGTGTCTGTTTAGTGACTGACGTTTGGGCAAATGGAAAAGTAAACATGACCCTGACCTGTGTGGGTGTAGGTATATGAGGTCAGGGTGAGGGTTGCGTCCCCCTCAGGAGCTCAATTCCCTCCCTTACCTCCATCATTACGAGTCAGCTCTCTCGGTTTGTGTAAAAGCAAAGTGTTGCCATCTCAGAAGCAGGGTTTCCGTTGTCCGGTAATTACCAGACATTGGCCAGGAAAAAATTAAATGTCAGACAAAATTAAATCTTTCCGGTCAAATTGTCTGATTAAAATTGCCTAATAATCCTGCCCCGCTAACACAATCTGAATCTGAGAATAAGCCTAAAATGTATAAAGAAGATCAGAAGGGTTATTTGCCATTTTACAAGCATTGAGTCTGCGGACAACGATCCTCTTATCAATGTCGTAAGCCTGCGACGTGAAGCACTTGCTGTCACGCACCTGCTGCATTTCTGACAGTGGCAATAGAGAAAAACAGAATAAAATAATACAAATTAAAAAAAAAAACATAAAATTGGTCAACACTAAATATATATTTTTTAACTTAAATAATTAACAAATTAAGACGCCAAAAAGAAAATACTAAATCCGTTTGAACGAAGCTTTCAAAAAACTGGTAATTTTTTCCATTAGACCAAGTTTTTTCATTAAATAAATGAAAAAAATAATATAAAAATAATACCAGTCCTACCTCAATCCACAATGAGATGTTTGCTTCCATAATAAGTGCGCATACCGTGCACCTACATTTGAAATAACGAATTTAAGTGTGCAAAAGACACGATATGTGAACAGGCCCTTACGCTGCTTATGCGCATTGCAAGTTGTGGAGACGCTGCGATGTTTTGATTTTAAGTCGGCAGCTGCACAATTCAGCACTGCAAAATAGTGGAAAAAGTTGCCTAAAATGACAGTGTTATAGGCCTAGTCATTTGTTTGTTCCAGTTCATTTGACAAGGAGTCATTTCATGGTGGCCAATTTAAATGTTACCCGCTAAATGAGACCTACTGAGAGTGTATAATTAAGTTTGCTTGAGTAACAATAGGCTACTATTCAGATATTTTATGTGGGGAAGGGGGATTGGTTTGTTAAACTATGAACGTGAAACCATAGTAAAAACAATTGACCCTTCGCTAAGCCACGCCGAAAACCACCACTGGCCAATCATGTCTTAGCAACCCTAACTAGGCATGGGAGGTCTGGCAAGCTTTCGAGTGAGGGAAACATGCCAAAGAGTTGTGTGTATGGATTATGCAAATCTGATAGCCGTTATCCTTAAAGTTTGGATGGGGGAGTGATTATTTATTTTATTTTTTCCCCCCGAAAATCTAAAAGGCAAGGGGAGAAATAATGGGTGTGGATCAAGCAGTGGGATAAACTGTTTGATATTTAATTTTAGATTATTTTCACATTCACTTACCCTGTTGTGCTCGAACACAGCTGTTCCTCAATTTGTGTTTCCCAGTTTAACGGTCAGCGTATGAGGCGCTGCTTCTTAAGCAGGGACGATAGGCTTTAGCTTCAATTTTTGTGAAATTATTCTCTACTCGATTGCATATTATGTCGTGAATATATCCCTCGAATGCATACTGCAGTCCCTTTAGTCTGGCTCTCTCAGATATTTTACGTGTTCCCCAAAAATTAGTAATTATCTCATTGGGAATGTCTGACACCGGTGCATTCACACTGTAATAGGGAACTAGGGAGAAAACTAGGGAACTGTAACTAGGGAGAGCGGGGCTTAGCGAAGGGTCAATGGTGTTGATTGACGCCAATCAGATGTTTATGTTTTTTTTCCCCGTCTATTTGAATGTTTGGCTAATAAAAATGTTGCATTCAATATGGCTTGATTATGTCATTTTGAAGTTACATTAAGCCTGCCTCCAGTTTTCCTCAACTTGACTAATTAAGGGGCATTATTTGACCGGCATTCATCAATATGTCCGTAAATCGAAAACTCTGCTGGTCACTTTGACCGGCACCAGAAACTCTGCTCAGAAGTATTCTCTTCTCCTGACCGTTTTTTTGTTTTCTTCTCTGCATGATGGATGTTCTGTTCTTTAACCTCGCCTCCTCCCGCCCACTGTAATGTGATGTACTTTTCTTTGGTATTGGTTTCCTTGAGGACTTGGAAAAAAGTTAACAACCCAGATCCATATGCTAAGGAGTCTCGGTACAGAACAATCGGTGCCAAAAACGTGCCTGTTCTCCATTTGTCCTACTTTTGCTTGAACTCCAATTCACATTTCAGCAGGTGCTCTGTGGACAGCCTTTCTTCATCCTACCTACTTACTGAGTATTTTTTTTTTCTAAGGGAGGCCAAATAAAGCTGTTTTTTTCCCCCCCTTTAAGCACTTAAGACTAACACTAGCCGTGTTACCAATGACTGGCCACTGTCACTTCTGGAGCTTGATCGGCCCTCGTCGGGGCCAATGGCCAGGGTTTTTTGGCCCGCCAAATTGATTTCGATGAAGAAATGAAGACATATCATATAGGCTATCACAATCATGTTTTTTTGTTGTTGTTTTTGGATCTGTCAGTACGTCTCGTCTCTTTATACTGGACTCTCTGATCCATATTTATCTCTGTATATGTTATAACATGAAGCAACTCCTTTTTTTCAGGAGCTTCCTCTGTTTCTCTGACTGAAAATATAACTGTATTGCGAGTGTACTAAAGCTCATCAAGTCATATTTTTGGTGGAAAATTTGTAGAAATGAATAAACATACTGTCCTGTGAGTACAAATAAACAGAAAGAGACACGACTAAGTACGTGTATCCTTTTTCTTTTGTGATAACTGTAAATACCTCTTTATTTATTTGTGACTAATGTGCAATCTTGGCAAATCAATTCCTTATGATCAATGAATCACTTATTATTGTAAAACTGTGGTAAAACATTGATGATTGCTTTTAAATCTTAAAGTAAACCACAAAAATGCCATGTTCCTTTTGCAATCTCGCTAGTTTCCAGTGATTTCTTTCTGATTAGTTTTCTGATAAAACATCCAATTGTTGGTGAATTGATGGGTGTGTGTGACGTTCTTCCAGAGAGGCGTGTTATGGGCAGGTTTTAGTAAAGCGCTGCGGAGCTTCTGGCCTGACGGTAGAAACGCAGCGTGGTTTTGGGCTCGGTGCTACTAGCTATTAGCCCGGCCCAGCCCGGTGAAAGCCCTGGCTCGCACTCGGAAAAGTGGGTACTGAGAAGTAGGTTGTTCTGAAAATTAAATTGTTCTTATATTTGCTTGTAGGCTATTGGTTATGTTTACATTTTAATTTATTGCGATATGTACTTATTGCGACAATAATTGTTGTTTAAAAAAAAAGATATACACTTTTATATGTATATGTATCTTACATTAAAATTATATTTGTGTTAGTGAAAAATGTATTGTCTTTATATTTATATTTTGCTAAATATTTCATTTATTTATTTTCATTTATTTAGCGGCAGGGTTTGTGCTTACAGATGCCATATATATTGCTTTCCTACACTGATTCACTTGAATAACTGGGATTAGTTAACTTGATAAGCGGGAAACAGCCTGTTGTGTTTTGCTGACAAAGGATAATTGGTCAGAAAAGGTCATGTCGGGTGTAGACAGCGCACACTCATGCATTTAGATGAACTGCTAAATAGTCTCTGCCTGCATAAGGCATATTCAGAAAGGTTCAATCCTTAGGTGTAATGGCATGCATTTCACAGCACCCACAAACTAGGTCAGCTGATTATCACATCTGTGGTCCACTTACAGAAGCTGTGGATTATGTTTAACAAGCTCTGAACTTCAACTCCCATAAGCCTCTTCTGTCAAAGCTTTATGCAGCTCAGCTGCATGAAATGGGTCCACCTTTACCCCACCACATCACCACAATCAGCTAGTATTATTTGCCTGTGTTATTTCATATACGGGATCTGGCACAATAGTTAGGAATATTTTGGAATCTCACAATTCGATTAAAAATTCTTGGGGTCACGATTCGATTAAAAATGTATTGGTGATTACTGGCTTTAGAACTATAAAGTCATGTTTCTCTTCTGAACTGTAGCTTGTGTTCTTCACTTCTCTTACACAAACATTAAAAGGTTCAGGGTTAGTAAGATTATATCTATTTTTGAAAGAAAGTAATACTTTTATTCAGGAAGGACACACTAAATTGATTTGGAAATTGTTTTTTAAACATTTTCAAAATATTAGCTATTTTTTACAGTATGTTGAAAGAATTAGTGTTGATGTGCATAAGAGACTACTTTCTAAAACATTTTTAAAACATGACCTAAAACTACCAAAATGAGAGTATCCTCCATGCTTGATTTTAATCCAAGAATTCGATCTGGATGTTTTGATCCTATATTTGTCAAATAGATTTTCTCTATGCTGATTCACAGGTCAGGGTGCAGTGAAGACAAATTATTTGCATGTGCTTGTGTACCCATTCTCTTGCGTTTGCATGCACATAAAATTGAAAATAAAATCTAGCATGAACCGACCCTGAATTCCTTTAAAGTGGGGATCACAATTTCTGCAATCAGTAATCAACAAAACGGAGATGATGTATTAGAAAAGAGTCATGGGTTAATTTCAGGGTCTAAATTCCAGACAGTGTCCATCTGTAAAGGTCATTTTAAATGGCCCTTCCCTGTACACACATCTAATTGAAATGACCTTGGTGGTTAATGGTGTCACTCTAATCTGTCGCTGTGAAACATGTTGTTTGAGGATGGTCACCAAGTCTTCAGCAGTTGGTCTGTTTAACCAACCCTAAAGCTTACACTTCCTTATTTGTTGTCTTTATAGGACCCTGGACCCATGCCGCCGTCTCCCACCCTGGTTCAGAAGCCACTGCAGTTGTTGGAAATCAAAGCAAGAGGGCGCTTTGGCTGTGTGTGGAAGGCTCAGCTGCTTAATGACTATGTGGCAGTGAAGATATTCCCCATTCAGGTACCACGTGGACCCAAGGCCAGGGAATCAGCTTCTAAAGCTGATGAGTTAATCTAACCTGATTAACCAATTGCACAGCCAAATGTGGAGCTGAGCCATGTGTCAGCCTGTGAAGCACACAAACAATACATTGTTACAAAGCATTTCTATTTCAAATAAATGCGGATTTGAAATGTCTGTTCATCAAATAATCTGAATAAATCAGAAAAATTGGGCATATTAGAATGATTTCTGAAGGATGTGACACTGAAGAAAGGACTGCTAAAAATTCACAGGAATAAATTACATTTTTACAACATATTCCAATAGAAAAGTGTTAAATATTCACAAATTAAATCACAATACATAAATTATAGAAAGATAAATAAGTATTTCTTGAAATGAAATGAAAATGCCTTAGTGGAAACACACCTAACAGGAGCCATCTCTCTCTTAGAGTTACAGCTTAGAGTTTGGTGAAATCATGTTTCATCTATCAATCACCCGTGTAATAATTTGCTTTGGTAAATACTTAAATAATCTTAGTGTATTGCGAATGTCAGCTAATACTCAATATGTCAATTGTTTTAATGGTCAGTTAGCAGACCTACTGATGTCGACTGACCAGTGGATCAGTGTTTAGGGATTTGCCCATCATGCCAGTGTGCTGTAATAACTGTGTACTTTGTGTCTTTCGCAGGACAAGCTGTCTTGGCAGAATGAGTATGACATTTACAATCTCCCTGGCATGAGGCATGAAAACGTTCTTCATTTCATCGGGGCCGAGAAGAGAGGAAGCAACCTGGACATTGAATTGTGGCTCATCACTGCTTACCATGAAAAGGTCTGGAACTGGATGGGGGCTGGACAGCATTGGCTTTCGCCTTTTATAGGAGGAACATTTCTAGATCCATATTTTAGTTTCTCAAATTTAAAAATCTCTCTGCCATCATTATCAGCAGGGATTACTTTATATTCTTTTTTTTTGCAGTGTTTCTAATGAAATTTAAAGTCTTTTATTTATTTGATATACATTTTTATTAAGACTTTGAACGAAAGACTTTAGACGAAAGACTTGAGTTTTGCTCATTGAAATGACCAATCCTAGTAGCTGAACACTCAAATAAACATGACAAAAAAAGTGATAAATGATAAAGAAAATTAATATATCACATTGCATGGCTATTTTTTGAACGCTTTTGCTGTTGTAAATTTGCTGTATAAAACATTGTGTTATGTTGGTCTTAAGGGGCAGAAGGAATGAAGTGACAAAATATTCATTACAAAAGAAACGTTTTTCATATGTCATGTTGATGCCCTGTAGGGTTTATACAATTATACAAAATAAATCATTTTCATAAAAAGATGATTAAATATTTTTGAGTCAATATGTGCTACAATAGTGCTCAAAGTGAGTTACTTTATCAGCAGTCAAGTCTTTGTTATTGCTGATTTTATACTTAGGAGTTAAAAGGTTTTAGTTGTTGATACTGTAGGCTGAAGCACAGCCATGATCGATCCAAGCGCCTCTGTTGTCTGTGTGCAGGGCTCCCTGACAGACTACCTGAAGGCCAACGTGGTGACGTGGAACGAGCTGTGTCTCATTGCTCAGACCATGGCTCGAGGACTGGCTTACTTGCACTCTGACTTCCCAGGACACCGAGATGGCCACAAACCGGCCATCGCACACAGGTTAGAAATATACATTGTGTATTCTTTTATTGCAAGGTGGACATTTGGTCTAAATCTTGTCTCACATGTTGTTTCAAACCTGTAAGACTTGCACAAAATATCTTTTTTAAATGAGCCTCTGTGTTTCTTGTCCATACAGTGGAAGTCAATGCGGTCCTGTGTTGTTTTGGACCCCGTTGCCTTTCATTGTATAGACACAAACAAAAATATCTTTTTGATCAATTATTATGTATTATACATGCACAGGGATATTAAGAGCAAGAACATTCTGCTGAAGTCAAACCTGACGGCTTGTATAGCTGATTTTGGTCTGGCTCTGAAGTTTGAGGCAGGGAAGTCAGCTGGGGACACGCATGGGCAGGTAAGTGTTGGAGCCAGTGCTGTTTGAAGTGCCGCCCTTCGTGCGAGGGTTGGCTGTGTGAAGTGTGTTTAAATATGAATATGATTCTGTGGAGGTGTATCAGAGGCTGCATCTCAGCTGTCCACATAATAGACAGACTAGACCAAAATGTCAGTAGTCGATATCGAATGAGCAATGAAATTTCATTATCGATACCACAACAAAAACATATGCAATTGACCACACTCTATGTAAAAAGTTAAATTATAATCTAAATGCTAATATAAATTATAACAAATTCAATTATAACCATGGCATTTAGCAGGAGTGTTTCTCGATGAAGTAAAGACATCTTGAAGTTTTTCCAAGAAAATATTCAAGTAAACAGGTGGTAATAAATTTTAAAAAAAGAACAATTAAAAACAATAGAAAATGGATACAAATTAATTATGGTTGAGGTTTAAGAGCAGTCCATCCATTTTGAAACCAAGACTGAACTGACTGCAGTGCTGGCAGAAACTTTGTAAAAGGACTTGTATCAAATATCAATGTTTTTTCATTGCAATGACTTGCTGGTACTGATTTTTTTTTTTATTATAGGTATGTTTAAGCATCTAGGTCATTAAAACATTCTCATATACTTTAATACAAAATTTGCTCTGGCAGCTGCATCCTAGCCCATAATTCCCTTACACTGTACTCATTAAGGCAGACTATATGCATTTACATGTACCGTTTTTACTGTTGTGCTAATCAGAACGTGGCCTCTCTGTGCGCTTCAGGTGGGAACCAGGCGTTACATGGCCCCAGAGGTGTTGGAGGGGGCCATCAACTTCCAGCGAGACTCTTTCCTCAGGATAGACATGTATGCGGCTGGGCTGGTGCTATGGGAGCTGGCGGCCCGCTGCACTGCATCTGATGGTATGAATGCGTGAGCTGCTGTTCCTCTAAGACTGTTTTGACATCACACTATACAGTTGTATCAATTATTATACCACAGTCTTGCTAAATGCTCAATTGCTTTTGTCAGTAAAGTGTGCATTCAAACCATGTAATGCACAGGTTGTTCTAGTCAGTTTAATCACATTCTGTATTAACATGCTGCCTTCATTGAAGCATGCAAACACACAACAGAGATTGGAGATCGCGCAGCACACGGACACACAGAAACATTCACAAATTTGTTGTCAATACTGCCCTGTGGCTTTTATTCATAAATTCGTTTTGCTACTGAATCGCTGCCTTATATTTATCAGCAACAAGGTGGTATGGTTATGCAGGGTTTCCGTGGATCCTTAAAAAGTCTTAAAGGGGTCATACAGTATAATGACATTTTTGTACAAGCTAATATGAATCTTTAGGGTCTAAATGAAAACTTTGTAATATACTTTTATTGAAAATTCTCAATCTCATCACAAAATAAAACACGTTTACCTGGTCAAAAACAGCTCTGTTTTGAGCATGCCATTTCAGTGCATATGCCTTTAAATGATAATGAGCCTCGCTCACTCCGCCCCTCTGTTCTGCGGGTGTTTTGATAATAATCATTATATAGATCAGTGTGTTGCCTTGACAACAGTTGATGATATATTTTGGAGAAAGAATGGCAGTGGTTGTCTCTGAGTACACATCTGTGTCTCATCGATGTTGTAATATTGATTGACACAAGGGGGAGGCGGGGCCTTGAGTAGTTTGCGCAGCCCTACGCAACTTGCATAGTGTGCGTATTGGGAGGATCGACTCTGTGGATAGGTCTACAAATGTCCATATATAGGTGAAAATGCCCCTGGAAATCAATTTAAGGTAGCAAATATTACCCCTTAATAAAAAATGTTAATTTGTTACTGCTGTGAACTGACCACTGCATAGAACATGACAAATATGAATATCTTTTTGAGTCAACTGTCGAAATTAACCATAATTTGTACACTTCCAGTCAGGTGATTCTTTGCCTCCATTGAAATCTTGTAATGCACACCCCTAGCTGTGTATTATCCCTTTCTTATATAGTAGATATTTCATTAAAATTAGAGTTGTAACAGTCTGGCAGCACTCCCTGATCACAAGAACCCATTTTGTGAATGTTTTACTACCATTCGAGCTCCTGAATAAGCCTGTCATTGTAAGTGCAGTATGCTCGCCATTATTGAGTATTGCTGTCTGGTCTAATGGAACAGTATTGATCAGGTGTGGACGGTGAAGCAGACTGGGACTGTTGTGACAGTGGTCGGCATGTGTGACGACCTCATTGAGTTCAGTGCATGATGGGATTGAATGGAGTGTGATGGCAGATCAGGTGTTTAAATGTTGAAATTTCCTCTTCTCCTAAGCTTCTCTCCTCAAACTGAATTTCAAAATCGTTAAAGGGGACTTTTCACTTTCATGTGGTGTTTGAACATAAATGTATGTCGGTAGTGTGGTAAATGGTCCACCCGCTCTTTTTTTTTTTAAATCCCCATACATCATAAGCAGTGTTTTCGGTATACGCCGTTTGCAGATTGTAACAGTGACGTCACACATGCTTATGCCCACTACTGCTGACGGGCTGCATTTACACTCCAAGTCTTAATACACAAATCCGATATCCGATACAGACCATATCCGAATTAACTTTAGACAGGACTGGTATCCGATATCTGTGTTTACATTAATTCCCGCCCAAAATGATTTTCGACAACCTTTTTACTACACACATGATAGACCCCGGTTTTGAATGGCCGTGCTATTAAAATTATTTACATAGTATTCATGTTGGGTATATATATATATATATATAAATTAACCAGAGAGAAACATCGATGTTGGTTTTGGTTTAATTAATTACAGCACCTCATTTCTGAGAAATATAATGTTGCCTATAGTAGTGAAGCTGTTTTATTTATAAAAGACACGGGCAGAGGTTTAAAACCAGCTTTTGAATGTTTCGGTGTTCACTAATTACGTTTCTTTATAAAGATTTTAAAAAAGTTCCCACCTAAATAAAAAGCTGTGAGCGAGCGCTTACAGGCACGTCTCCCTCATAATACAACATTAAAAAAATATCTTTGTGAATAAACGTGTCATCCTTGCCATGTATTGGCTTGGAATTCAAAGAGGAATCGGAAATGCGTGTTTAGATGTCCAGATATCGGATATGTATCTGATTTAAAACCACATTTGGAAGTGTCTCTGATCGGATGCGAAAAAATCGGATCTCATGCAGATTTTTGTGTTTATGTGTGCAACAAATTCCGATCGGTGTCAGGTGTGGGTAAAAGATTGGATTTGGATTTTCTAAAATACACAGATCTAATATACACTTGAATTCTTCACTTGCTGTTACGTTCACAGATGTAACCGATAGTGTTATGTGAACTTTGTGTTTTTTGACATAACCTTGTGTGATTTTGACAGTTTAAGCGCAATAATACGTGAAAGAGAACTTTGTTTAATACTCACGTGACGCGCCGTCTGACATCTGTGCGCTCAGTAAACCATACATCAAATATATCTTAAAAATGCATGCAGTTAATAAACATTCATGATGATGAACTGCAATGTCATGTGAGCGTGACCGCGATAGAGATGATAATAATCAAATCCAAATTAGATGTTTTAGGTTCATATACCTAGATAAATCACTTTTTGTTTTTGTCTTGCAAATTTTCTGTGTACCCCTTGTAGCTCCCTGAACCAAGTTTGAGAACACCCTCAGTGATTGGACTTCCTGATCTGAGCAGATGTTTGTTCATTTTTTCTGAAGGTCCAGTTGACGAGTACATGCTTCCGTTTGAGGAGGAGGTGGGCCAACATCCCTCTCTAGAGGACATGCAGGAGGTTGTGGTCCACAAAAAGCTCCGGCCCACTCTCAGGGAGTGCTGGCAGAAACATCCGGTACATAACGTCTATCCTAAAACCTCATCAAAAATTTTCATTGAGTGAATATTATGCATAAAATAAACACGTTCATATGTCTCACAGGGTCTGGCCATGCTGTGCGAGACTATAGAGGAGTGTTGGGACCACGAGGCCGAGGCGCGTCTCTCCGCGGGATGTGTCGAGGAGCGTGTGGTCCAAATGCAGCGACAGACCAGCATCTCTGCACCAGAGGAAATAGTCACCGTCGTAACCATGGTGACCAACGTGGACTATCCCCCTAAGGAGTCCAGTCTATGACTAGAGGAGATCAGCATGTGAATTGCGGGCTGACCGAACAGAAAACACGCGTCGGGAATGGTGGCGGACAGCTGTTCTGAAAGCCGGCTTCAGACATGCTGGATGATTGTCCTGTACTTTCGGCTGGAGCAAATGCAGACTATACATTTTGCGCCGAATCTGGGTTTAATACAGGTACACCTGGAGTCCGCTATGTTTTAATGTATGTGTGTGTGTATATATAAACTAGTACCATGGGGCACTCCGGCAAAGGACGGAAGATTATAAGCCGGCATCAAAAACGTTGTTGTCGTTTCCCTGCTTGGAGAAGAAACTTTCCCAATCAAGGAGGAAACGAGACCCTGCCGCACGGCGCTAGTGTCATTTCAGTATAAAAAAGGGCAACGTCCATGTAAAATAACACATTTAATGTGTTCATATGAATGACTATTGTAATGCCAATAAGAAACAGCTTTTTGAATGTGTAGTGTGACGCTGCTGTACAGATATCAACAGAAAGGGTGACGATACAACCCAAATCAACACGCGTTTTCTCTGAAAGCTTTCAGAGTTTCTGTCAGATAACCACCAACCTCTCGACAAGGTATACCTCAGTTTCTCATCCTAATAATGCGTTTGTTTTGTAACACTATATGATATTAAAAAAAAGAGGCTTTTCGATGACCTCCATTTGGCACGGAAGCTTTTTAAATACGGGGAATAGTTTTTTTATATGACAGATTATGCCAAGAAACGATGGCCATTCATAAACCAGTGTTCTGCCTTCTTTCTTTTAGTCGTTCTCTGTGTTGCCCTGCTGTTTAAAATGTGATACTTTTTGTTTTTTTTTGTTTTTTTTAGGATTGTGACCGTTTTGACATTTATCTTGACCTGTTGAGAAGAAAAAAATCCCTGACAATATGAATTTTGTGAAAATAATACAGAAGCACTTACCAATATAGGTTTGCGGTGTCCTCACAACATTGACGTATGTGCATGCCTCGTGTTCTTCTTTTTTTTTTTTTTCTTTGTTTTTCAAACCTTTGTTATCACGTGGAGCTTGTGCATGAGATCCCGTTGGCAGTCATTGAAACCCCTTCATTATTCGTTAATCTGAAGTATTTCCTGTCTTCAGGGCATCACTCATTTTCATTTGGAATCCTCCAATCCTGGTCTTCTATGACCACCGTCTGTCACGTCAAACTGGTTTCAGATCAGCAGCCAGGCGACCTTCTACACACTTCTACAAGAACTGTATCTCAGTATGTCTCAGGAAGCGTTTCCCTTTGCTTTGAGCCCTCTGGTGCCATTCTGGTTACCCTTGTTGTATTATGTATGCAAGGGCCCTTGATATACAACACCTTATTAGTGTGATCATATTATGTGCAATAACATCCTAAGCAGGGACTGTTTCACAGATCACAGGCCACTTCCAGTGTGGTAAAAATATAAGCGCCTAGTGGGTTGCTGAAACCATAATGTACATCATGAACTGAAGTTGACGTCATGCTATGCATATGTTATGATGCCCGGTGGTCTGAGAGTATTAAGGAAATGATATGCTGTAATGGGGACCGAACACATGCAGTAACTCTCTGCCGACTGGCTGACAGTCTTTTAAATGAACAGCTTGTCTGCTGCTGCTCTTAGGCTTTGTTCACACTGCACTTAAATCCATTTTGATTTTTCAAATCCAATTTTTAGGATCAACTTGTCATTTTGCAAGAAATCGAATGCATTTGTTCAGACAGTAGTCAATATCTGTCCCAATATCGGTCATGCATTACCATCACATTGCATCCCAGATGATTAGAAATCTGTTCACCATTAAACTGATTTTAATCTGATTTCAAACTACATAAGGGTCTGATTTGAATCAGGCCTAAATCTTATTTTTATGTGGGGTTGTTTTTCCCGTTCAGACTACAAACTAAACTGATTTGAGTCAGATTCCTGCTGTCTGAAGAAAACCTGAAATTTGATTCAGTGGCTCTGTGATTTTGTTCATTTTGCTTTTGATATTAATCACGTCAAATTCTGAATGGTGTAAAAATGAATTGAGATCTGATCTGACCATTCAGACTTGATGCGTAAAAGTCTGATTTCAAGCCGGATGTGGTTCGAATCCGGTTTGTAAACATTGCGTTTCATGTTTGTTTGTTATTTCACCCATTCACACTACGAATATCTAAACGGATTTGAGTATGATAAAAAAAAAAAAACGGATTTCTGTTGCTTGTCTGAACAATTTCTGAAATTTTGGTTCATTACCTTTCGCATTTGACAATGTTCAGGTTCATATAACCGTATGCAATCAAGCCCTTTCAATGAAAGCTTTCTATCTCTCTACTGTAGCATTCTCAGCCAGCTCATTCTGTTGTACTTCATCTGACTGCTGTCAGAATGGTTAAGTAATAAGGGCCCATGCCATCTTTCAAAGGCCTTCCGTTGGACTCTGTAGGTTCATAATTGAAGGCCAGGTGGTTATAAGCCCAAATTAAAGTTCTTTGCAGGTTAGGGTTAGGAGGACGAGTGCTCCTGTGGGGTTCTTGCAATTTGACTTTTTGACTGTAAACACTACAGAAGATTCACTAATCCTGAGTGACTGCTGCTGGCCTGTAGAGTGTTTTCACCAGGTGCTGTCCTGTACCCTTGTCTGTTTTTTGGTGTTTTATTTGGGGAATCTGGGAAGAAGGTTGAATAAGATGAAAAGCCAAACTTTTTAAAAAAAGCCCCCTGTTTAGTAGAAGACTCAATTTAAAATGCACCGTATGTACATATGAATGTTGTTTAAGATTGTGAAAAGAGCATGAGGTTTTTTTATGTCACAAAGAAAGAAATCCTTTATTGATATTATTATTATTATTATTATTATTAAATATTTTAATGTTAATTTTGTACATCTGTATCTTAGTTTTATTCATTTATGTCATGGCCCAACTGTCATTCTTCTTTTCTGGATAAATGAGAAGTGATGCTTTCTCTGTTTTGAAAACTGGTCATATAAAACACTACAAAAGAATCGATCCTTTACCTCAGACTTCCACTCACGGCGTTCAAAAGATTGAACAAACAGTGTAGCACGACTGACAACATGGTGCAGCGTTGCAAAAATTGCTCCTGGGATTCGACCAGCAGCTTCTCTTTGTCTTTTCTCTCAGACATGCTTCAGTGACAATATTTCTTCTCATTGAGTGAATGTCTCCACTACCAAAACTCTCTATTTTAGGTGCGAGCAGCTGTATTACTGTTGTGCTGGACATGCCATTTTTGTCCACATTACTCTCGAGTATTTAACGCATTCAGGGCCTGATCAGACGTAATCGTTACATAATGTACAGATTCAATTTTATGCTACTACTCCCCTCAAATAAAGTATAGTGACTGCTCTCAAATGTGTACTGTGTCTCAATTACTCAACTGATCTGAAAATAGTCATGCGTATTTCAGTCTGTTTTAAAGACGGAAGTGAAGATTTCCACTGATAAATGTTTAAGCACAAATATGGATCTGAAAACATATATTTTTATACATATGTTACTGATTGGAATATTGACAATTTGACATTTTCTTAAAGCCATGGTCAGTACTGTCCACCCTGACGTGAATTTGATGAATAGCTGTTGTGTGTGATCACACCACTAGATGTCAGCATTTCACCTCATTGTACACTTTATGGTTGTAAGATTTTACTGATGCCCCTTAACCCTTTCATGCATGAATATCCTCAGTCAGGAATTTTTTTTTCTTTGTGTTTTTATTGCTCTTAAGGCATGAAAAACAAGATTTTATTTATTTATTTATTATTATAAGATATTTTCAGATGTCCACTTGAGTGGACAGCATAGTTTAAACTGAAGAGATACTATATTAAACATAATACAATAATCAAACGGATAAAGTATGTGTATTTAACAATCATGCGAAAACTTTAAAAGGGAAGGGGGGGGGGGGGCTCAATGGCTTACAACTTTGTTGCAATGCATTGCAGTGCAGGGTCCACTTTCCCATCAAAACCCTTGCAAATTCAAGAAAATGCTTTTTAAATAGCTGTCCACTGTAGTGACCACCATGCTTGAAAGGGTATTAAAAAAATCAGATTTTTTAAAATTTATTTTTTATCTTCAGCAAGGATGCGTTATATTGATCAAAAATAACAGAAGACAATAGGCTATTACAACTTTTTTTCAAATAAATGCTTTTTATTAATAAAATAATCCTTAAAAATAAATGTATCACGTTTTCCACAAAGTATTAAGTATCACAACTTTTTTCAACATTGGTACTAATAATAAATGTTTCTTGAACAGCAAAAGAGCATATTTTTAATGGTTTCTGAATGATCATGTGACACTGAAGACTGGACAACTTCTCTAGTACTTCTCTAGTGTTTCTAAAATTGCTGTAATTGTCTCTTTTCCCAGACTCGCCTGGAAAAGGGATTGAAGCTCCAGCTGGAGAGTTCTACTGTCCAGTGACTGAACGCCCACCATAGAAGTTATATATAAATTCAAGTGGACTGCTTGTCCCGCATCTCATCTCACTGTTTCTCTTTGAGCTGTTGAACTGAATCACCTGGTCAGGCTGCTGTAAATGTCCTTGAATAACTGTGTGGGAGTCAACAAATCACTTTCTACTGCATGCTGCTGTATGTGTGAGGAAAGGAAAAAAAAAGGAGAAAGAGTTCATAATGCAGTAGGCCAGAGAAGCATTCATATCTGAAGCTTGGAAAACTAACCAATAACCAGGATGCCCTATTGAGATCACATGACCAATCAAATACTGCTTTTACTCAATACCTTGAACATGGATAGCCTAATCATTGCTAACTGTGAACAGTGCATTTCTGCAATGGCATCGGTAAGTTTTATTTTATTACTATTTATATGCTATTATAGTTTTTATAATGATTTTTAATATTTCATGTCGCTTTTAGTATATTTTAGTTCAATATTTCAGTTAGTTGGCAAAGCAAAATTCGACTACTTTTTATTTTATAGTTTACGTTTATAGTTTTTACCTAATATTTATGTTGTGCTTTATTTCAGTTGACAAACATTCATTTTTTTTAATAGTTTAGTTTTGGTAAATGATAACCAAAACTGTAACTGAAAACAATTTTGTTATTCTAGATTTGAGTTCCGTTCTGTAAATAAATCCAATTTTGAGGCTGATCTTGTGACTGTTGTTATAGTTTTTATAGAATAGCTGTTATACAATATGTTCCTCTAAAGTCACTTTGGATAAAAGAATCTGTTAAGGGCAAAAAGTAAAATTTCATTCTTTAGAAATTGAGTAACAGGACATTGAGTTCTGTTTTATCATTTCATGTTACAGCACTGAAGCCCAAGACTGCATGGTTGCCCACTGAAGCTAAGCAGGGCTGAGCCTGGCCAGTATTTGGATGGGAGACTCCTGAAAAAAAAAAAAAAAAAAAAAAAAACAGGTAGTTGCTAAAAGAGGTGTTAGTGAGGCCAGCAGGGGGCGATCACCCTGTCGTCTGTGAGAGTCCGCCTCCCAACCCCCGAGTATAGTGACGGGGACACTATTGTCAGAAAGCACCGTCCTTCGGATGAGACGTTAAACCGAGGTCCTGACTCTGTGGTCATTAAAAATCCCATGGCACCTCCTGTAAAGAGTAGGGGTGTAACAGTGTCCTGGCCAAAATTCCCTCCTTTTGCCCTTATCAATCATGGCCTCCTAATAAACTCCATTTACTCCCTGAATTGGCTCCATCACTCTCTTTCCTCTCCACCTATTAGCTGGTGTGTGTTGAGCGCACTGGTGGCGTTGTACTGTGGCTAATATCCAAGTGGATGTTGCACACTGGTGGTGGTTGAGGAGAGACCCTGATATGATTGTAAACCGCTTGGGTGTACAGTAGTACATAGTAAAGTGCTACATAAGTGCCTCATTCATTAGAAACAAGTTTCACACACATTCTTAAGTGTTTTGGTGTGTTTTGAATTTCACCAATTTGTCCAATATCCATGCAAAAGCAACTCCTTGGAGTCAGTCAAAGTGCCCAGTGAGGCCGAGTGGTTGATAATAACCTGATCAGAGAGAGCCATTATCCCTGGAGGAGAAAATTAACATCTATTGAGCTCCTCTTGGGAAAAACATGTATCTCTAGAATCATTTGGCAGCTCCCCAAACACAGATGTCGCAATGCCAATGCATATGCCTTCATGCACATCTGCCTCTACATCAGTTTCTCACAATGCATCTGAGCATCTTAACCAGTTTAAAATATTGCAACGAGATGCAAACGAAATGTATTAAAATTTGCTTTCAGTGGTTAAAATAATTAATGATATATAGGCCTGTATAAATAAATAAATATATACAGTGTGTATATATATATATATATATATATATATATATATATATATATATATATATATATATATATATATATATATATATTGTGTGTGTGTGTGTGTGTGTGTGTGTAATTAATCAATTTTCATTTAAGTTTTATTTTTTAAGAAATGTGTTTTAGTCCACAGCCATTTTAATATTAGTGGTACAGCAAAGTTTTACATTTAACTTTTTCTGTTCACCCATAAAATGTATTAATTTGTCTTAGGCAGAACAGAAAACTGTGTGAAATAACAAATGGTACAACCACATGTATCTATTGCAATCCAACTGGCCAAACCACAACTCGAGATCTGGAAATGTGCTTTAAGACCTAGTAATACTTACATTTATATAATGACAGAATACAACAATGCTGTGATCACAAAAATACTTTATTTAAATTTTTATTTGGACAGATGTGTTTGTCTTGTATTAAATTTGGATCACATACTTGTCTTGTATTAAATTTGGATCACATACTTGACTTGTTTAGACAACTACAAAGCTTGACAACTATATTTTTGACAGGGATTCTACTTGACCACCATTTAACAAAATCAGTCCACAACTGAATATGTATATACAGAGCTATCCAGGTTTTATGAGGGGAAATTTTATATCCAGTTCAGAAGACATGTGTTTAAGTGATAAATGTAATTTTTTTTTAACTGTCTCTCCTCTCCACAGGCAAAAGGGAAACTATATGGAAGCGTGACTTTTCTCTCTTTACACTCTCAGGCAGAAATGTCAATATCATGTGCCCAAGAAGTTGCCTAAAAAACATTCCACAATGAATGTACATTCACACATGAGCTGACTTGAAACTGGGTCTATAATTCCTGTGACCCACATGGAGCCACGTCACAATTTCACAAGGGCCCCTGGGCTCACTCTTCCCCCTCAGCGAATACACGTAGCTCATAATATATAATTCAGGAGGTCTTTAGGACATTTGCATCCCATACTTTTACTGAAGTGCTACCCAAAAAATCTACTGACTGAAACTTCCACTTCTTTTTCTAGGGAATCTTTCTAATGTTCATACAGGCTCCCAAAAATAAAGAGGGAGCTCAACTCAGACTGTATCCTAAACTCCTACATTTGGCCACACTCCTGTCACGATTGGCAACGTGGAATGTCACATCCATGCTCCCAGGACTTAGCAGAGAAGGACCTGCAGTACCTAAAGTACAAGACCCTGAGGGGAAAGAAGAGTGTACAGTAATGAGGAACGTCATAACTGTCACAGCACAGAGGGGATGGGAAACCTCTGGACAAGACTAAAATATGAGGTTCACACGTGCAGGCCAGGGATATTCAAGTCAAAGTTTTAAAGATACAGGGTGATTTGTGAGAGGAAAGAGACCATTTGTGAAAAGTGGAATAGCCATCTTTGAAGCTTGTGACACCATTTGCTGACTACTTGCCTTTCATCCTAACTGCAGCAATTTCACACCAATTCACACTCGTGATCTCAATCCCTTCAATGACTCCAACAATTAACGAGTCTTGTTGTGACATCACTGTGTTGAGGTGAAATGCATGCAGGGAATCTCCACTATCAACAACCTTGGTAGTGAAATGTCTTGAACATCAAAAAATAACAATTAGGAGAATAAAACTTAATGTAGGGCTACTACAGGATTTTCAGAGACATGCACAGTTTTAGATGAAAAAAAAACAAAAAAAAAAAAACAACAACAACAAGTTAACATGTAGGTTACAAGGAAATTTGCAACGTGTAGACATCTTAAATGAACCCCTCTGGTATTTTCAATGATCAGTAGAGTGGGGCCAAGGCACACAGTCAATTTCTATAACCATTTAAAACCAACTGAACAGGGAATCAGATTCATTTGTAAAATGCATTGGAGAAAATGTTCCAAAACTTTTGAACAGTTTAGTGTAAAATAATGGCCTATATTAATTCATGGATAGTGTATGCAAGCAATTCAGAAAATGTTCTGTAGAGAAACACTGAGAGCTCAGACACACTTATGCATCGCACATCCACCACTGCTTTAGGATTGCC